GAGGAGCGCAAGCTCAGCGGCCATGGCTCACGGGCCCAGCCGCTCCGCGGCATGTGGGATCTTCCCGGACCAGGGCACGAACCTGTGTCCCCTGCATCAGCAGACAGACTCCCAACCACTGCCACCAGGGAAGCCCTATAGTACAGTTTTTAAAATAAAGTTTATCTCCCTTTTCCACTGATTAGATAAGTAATGAATTTTCATTGTAAGAAAAACAAAAAGAGGAAAACTTAGAAGGAAAATAAATGTCAAGCGTAACCTTTTACACCAGGTTCGAATAAATGACGTCCTAATATCCGTCCAGAGTCCTGTTCTAAATAACCTATGTTTATTTAGGCATGTGGGCAAACCAGGTTATGTGGACAGGACAGCAACATTTCTTCAGGCCCAAGCCCAGGGCCCAGCAGGACTGCCTTCTGCCCACAAACAGAAGTGTGCTTTCAGAAGACATGCAAATTCAGTGGAAAAGCCAGGGAAGGCTGGCGCAGCACTGTAATCAGGAGACAGGTGCTAAACCTTCCTGTTCTCTGCCTAGTGAATTCCATACTCCTCCTCCAACTCGAATGTCACCTCTGCTGGAAGTCTAGCACTGGAGTAGCAGTAGAAACACCCTCTACAGGGCTTGCAAAAGTCTTCTCCAGCTTCTACTATAGTGCGAATCACGCAACAGTCTCATTTTCAAAATGTTTTTGTTTCTGAGTCTTCTTTGCTTCCTAGCCAGTTAACTCCACCAGGGCTGGGGCTGAGTCTCATTTGTTTCTAAGAAACCCTGATACTTGGCTCACACGTAAAAACAAATAATGGCTGGTTAAATAATGAACAAATGAATGGAAAAAGAAAGTGTAAGGTCTTTAGGATACCTGAAAAAGACTGAAGGTGGAGGAAATCTGTGACAAGAGATCATAACTCAAGAAAACTCACAGAAAGAAAGCTTAGTCCCTCAATAGAAGGCTTTGCGTAGGCTGCATATTTCACCCACCTGAAGCAGAAGTTCAATCTATTGGGGTCACCAAAGAGATTACTAATTTTGGATATTAAAAATTATAAGCCCCAGGGGCTTCCCTGGTGGCGCAGTGGTTAAGAATCTGCCTGCCAATGCAGGGGTAGGGTTCGAGCCCTGGTCCGGGAAGATCCCACATGCAGCGGAGCAACTAAGCCCATGTGCCACAACTACTGAGCCTGCGCTCTAGAGCCCACGAGCCACAATTACTGAGCCCATGTGCCACAATTACTGAAGCCCACGCGCCTAGAGCCCGTGCTCCACAACGAGAGAAGCCACTGCAACGAGAAGCCAGCGCACCGCAACGAAGAGTAGCCTCCACTCGCCGCAACTAGAGAAAGCCCGTGTGCCGCAACGAAGACCCGATGCAGCCAAAAATAAATAAATAAACAAACAAACAAATAAATAAATTTAAATAAATAATTTCTTTAAAAAAAAATTATAAGCCCTAAATATTTAAATTTCAGCCTTGAATGAAATTAAGCTGAGACCAAAGGGAGCAAGCTTCAACAGCAGGGCCTCAAAGGAAGTAGAAACATTGAGGTCTTGACAGATGACTTGAGACTGCCAAGCCCTGAACTAGCTTTGAACATTTTGCTATGAAAGGTAAGAAACACGCCTGGAGGATACTGACCAGTTAGATATCTGGAAGGATAGTGAGAATAAAAAAATTAGGCCAGTTAAGTGAAAGACCTGCCAGGTTTCTAACGTATTCTACATGTTGCCATCATAAATGTGAATTCTGACTCTGGTCAAATTGAACATGAATTATCTGATTATTTCCAAGATACTCTACTGTAAACTCTACATTGTTAACTTCTATTTTATATTTGTATAACCCTTAACCTTAAGATATTTTATGAGATGGTATAGAATTACACTAATACATTAACTACTAGTCTCATGTGGCTATTAAGCACATGAAATGTGTCTGGTCTGAATTGAGATCGGCTGCAGGTGTAAAACACACACCGAAATTCAGACTTAATTGAAGAAAACGTATTTCATGAATTACGTTATGTAATATTTTAGATATACTGAAATAAATAAATATGGTGTTAAAATTAAATTTAACTGTTTATTTTTATTTTTTAATATGGCTACTTAAAAATTTAATATTACATTTGTGGCTTGCGTTATATTTCTACTTGATAGCATTGGTATAGAGCAATGGTTCTCAACCAAGGGTGATACTGCTCCCAGGGGACATTTGGCAATGTCTGGAGATATCTTGGCTTGTCACAACTGGGACAGTGCTACTGACATCTCATAGGCAGAGACCAGGGATGCTACAATGTACAGGACACCCCTCACAACAAAGAATTATCGGATCCAAAACGTCAATAGTGTGGAGGTTGAGAAACCCTGGTATAGAGGAGTGGTTAAAGAATGGACTCTGGAGTCAGACTGCCCAGTTTGAATAGCATTTACTAGCTGTGTGACTTGGAGCAAATTGCCTAACCTCTCTTTAATTCATATTCCTTATCTAAAGAATGGGGTAATTACAGTACCTCCCTCACAGGGTTTTGGGGGAACTAGTTGCGTTAATATGCATAAGTACTTAGAACAGTGCCCGGCACATAGTATTTGCTCAATAAGTATTAGCTGTTATGATGTGAAATTTTTAATTTACTTATTGTCTCTTTATTTCATGAAACAATTTCAATTTCTCATTAATTTTTCTATATTTAATTCTCCATGACTTTACCAATCTTGCTATAAGTAACCTATCTTTATAAAAAAAAATTGAAATTTCCCTTAAGTTAGGAAAAAACATTTGTTTTCCATCTTGCATAGGCTGCACAAGTACAAAGGGACATTAGAGCAGAACCATTATTAGCATACAACACAGAAGCTCAATCGTCGCTACTATATAATATGCATGCAAAGTTCACCAAGGTTGGCCTTAAGTGGAGGTCCCAATGTTTCAGGCCACTGAGTGAGTATGATACTTACAGATGGAAGCAAAAGTCCCAGTCGGTGTCATTGCTGACAGTCGGGATGCGGATGGGGCTGGCTCGCATCTTCTTCCTACCAAGAATCACATGTGAGGTCAGCTTTGAAAGAAAACCGCTTAGAAGTCTGTTCCGTTTTCCCTTTGTTGGATGCTATTAGCATTAAAATGAAACTGCCCAAATATATAACCCATCCTAAATCCACAAATAGACTATACACACACACTCATGTATGGAGACCGTGGAAAGCAGAAATTAAAGACATTTGCCAAATTAAATCCCTGAATCAAATTTCCTTCCTCTAATTTTTACTTCACATTACCTCCAAAATCCCCTACCTTTTTTACCCCTTAAGCCAACACATTAACAGCTCCTGAATCAACAAAACTATGATCTCCTACTCAAGTCAGATACTGTTTTTGCAGGTAACCAGCTCTCACTACTAACAGTGTATTTGTTGGTTAATTCTTCTCCGTGTCCCTTGGGCCATCTCACTACTTGATAGGTGATCCTAGTAAAGGAGCTAAAACACATGCGTCTATTTTGGTTGCTGTCATTAGCTGATGGGGGAAATGACTGAAACTCATGGCAAAAAATTTGATTTGTAATTATTTGCTAAATTGAACCCTCATGGCTATCCCTGTCGCTCAGATCAAATCGAACTCGAAAGCAGTTATTTATTGAACATTGGTACCCACCAAGTCCCTCCTCATTTCACCCTGCAGAATGTCACTCATTCCCACCTGAGCCCTGAGTTAGCTCTCTGACTCAGACTTCACAACATTCACAATCCAAAGACCAGAAGGTAAGATTCACTCATTTGTCTTTCTCATTTCTACTTTCAAAACTGTGGCCAGGGCGAGGGCTTCTGACGTCTCAACCTCCTAAATTCGGTTCCTGTGCGGTTTCACACGGCCCTGAATTGTAACACCACCATCGCCCCCCTCTCTCAAGTGCAAATCGCTTCCTTATTTTCTGCCGTTGTCTCGCCTTAACTTTGTAAACCTTAACACCACATTCCGAGCAACGTCCGAGCTTCCCCTGGCTTCTTTCCTGTGGGCGGTGCCCCAGCCGCAGAGGCTCTAGCCCGAAAAGCGGGCGAGGGCGGCCGAGAGGCAAGCGTGACGCGGCGTACCTGGCCGAGGGCAGAGGAGCCACGGCCCAGAACTAGGCTTCCCGGCTCCCTCAGCCTGACGGCTCGGCTTCTGCCGGCGGCTTCAGTGTACTGGCCTCTTCGGACCTCGTTCAAGGCGCCGCTAGGTTGCCTTGCGGAAGAGAGAGGCTCACCTAGCTCTACCTTTCCCGCCCGCCGCCGGAGTTCTGGCTACAGAGAGAATGGGGTTACCATGGAAACTTACCGTTGCGGGCGGTGCCCGCGCCTGTAGCCATGGCGACGAGGGGGCACTTCCGGCCCAACGGAATCCCAGGCCAGCCCCGCAAACCATAGCTGCCGCCTCACCCTTGCCTTAACGGTCGCCGCGGGCGAGAGTCGGGCGACCTTAGCTTCGTCCCCACACTTCCCTCTGCTGCGGCTGAACGGTCCACTACTGTTTTTCTTAAAGGGGCCTCTCGGAGATAACGACGCCGGAAGAGAAGGTAAATCCCATCGAAGGATGGAAAGGGGCGTCCGGCTCCACGACCTTACCAATTTAAAGCTGCGACGACGTACCGGTCTGTATTCGGCGACACTCTTCGCCCCCGTGTGCCCCTCCGCGCGCCCTGCACCCTCACAGTTGCCCAGGTGTTCGGGTCCTCCGGGCCCGCGAGGAAAGGCTCAGATAGAACTATTGACGGTGCTGGCACCGTCTGTGTTGCCTCTCCCGGTAAGATTAGAGCTACGCATGGGTAAGGGAGCGGAGTGCAGGAAGTGAGTAGCTTAAGATATGGACCACTAGTTCTGCTACTGATTAGCAGTTCAGAGAATGTTTTCGAGGGTAGAGGGCACGTTTGGCAAACACCACATAGCCCTAAGTTATGCACCATATATCCTTATCCTACCCATCTTCAGTGGCCTGAAATACCCACAGTGGTAACAGTAACTCAGATCTGACAGGTACAGGGGCAGTTGTGGTTAATAACCGAATGAAGATCACTGGCTCAAGCAGCCTCGGGTTTCATGGTGTTGCCGTGAACCCCACAATGAATTAGGGGCTGTGACGAGTCAAGTTGGAACTGGTATGTCCCTCTCCTTTTCAAACAAGAGCAGGCTCGGTAGAAAAAGAAGGAAAATATTTCCCAAGAACTTGACAGGTGGTGTTTACATTCAGTGTTTGTTCTTTCCAGTTCTGAGGCTGAAGTTTAATTGCTGTTGATCCAAGACTGCCAAGATAGCCTTTCTGAAGTTAGGTTGGAGGAGCTATTTAAATGAGTTGGCTTTAATATCTCTTAACTAAAACCTGGATGGCCTATTAAAGTTTAAATCTGTACCCTCAAGCTCCTGAGCCAAAATTTTAGAAAGACCCCACCCCTTTTATTCTCTGTTTTCTAAAAGAACCCTCAGCATGAAAGGATGATGAGAGCATTGAGCTGGGCTTCAGGATGTCAGGGTTCTGCTTTGGACTGTGTCCAAAGCCCTGGGGCAAGTCACAGCCTAGGGGACTGAATTTTCTTGCCAGTACATTGAGAGTGTTTGTACCACTTGCTTTCTAAAACCCCTTCCAGTTCCAGGATTCTGTGAGGATAAACCACAGATTTTTATGATTCTATGAACATAATATTGAATATTTAATATGAATATTTAACATGTATGGGGATAAAAGGGCAGAACTGGTTTCCTGTTCTCTAACACTTATTTCCCTTATCCTTGTTACAAGTTGGTCTTCAATGAAATGGAAAGTTTTAATGTTCTATCATTCTAGGAAATGGCTATGAAGTTGTTTCTAAGTGTATTAAATATAACTTCTCTTCCCTGAACACTTGCTCTGCTGATCCTTGTGAGGGGGACGTGTGGTACCAGAACAGTCACTGAGTTCCCATTCCCTAAAGCCAACACTCTGGCTCCGCCTCCATTTAATTAGCTCATCTGTAAAATTAGAAATCAAATGAAAAGAACTTTAAGGACTTTTAGAGTTCTAAACCTCTGTGACACTTTTTCTTTCCTTACATCTTAACCCTGGCTGCAAATGTAAAATTAGTTATAGAGTTGCAGGGGGGAAAATGTCACATCCTGGGACCTGCAGGTGTCCTTAGGACCCATCGCCAAGGGAGGGTTCTTGGCTTCATGCAGGAAAGAATTCAAGAGTAAGCCAGAGTAAAGGGAAAGCAATGGGTATTTATTGAGAGAGATACACATTCAATAGGCAGAATGCAGACTGCTTTAGAAAGTGAGAGCAGCCCCAGGGCATGGGGTCATCCTGGAAAGTGAGAGTGGTTCTGGGGCCTGGGGTCCTAGGTTTTTATGCATTAAGTAATTTCATAGGCTAATGAGTGGGAGGAATATTCTCGCTATTTTGGGGTAGGGTGGGGATTTCCCAGGAATTGGATCACTGCCCACTCTTTGGCATTTTATGGTCTACCTCGGAACCGTCATGACATAACGGAGAGTGATTTTTAGGATTACAATGAAGGTATAGTGAGCTAAAGGTCAGTGACTGGACTGTTCTCAAAGCCACCTTGTTTTCAGCTGGTTCCAGCCAGTCTTTATCACGTCCCAACAGCTGCCCCCTTTCTTCATTATCTAGCATTTGTATACTGCTCCTTTCCCTCCTGTCTCAATGGTAAGTGTGCTTTAGTTCTGTTCACTAACTCTGGAATGGAATGCTAGTAATGTGGGGATAGTGCTTTTACAGCGGGTTCACGTACCCTCCTTTGATCCTGATTACTGTAAGCTTTGCTATTGCAGAAATCACACAGAGGAACCATGTGCATAGGGTACTTCTAGACTCTTCCAACCCCCAATCAAATGTGATTAGCTCCAAATGATTGCAAACGCAAGGACTGTGAAACCTAAGAACAAGGAAATCCAAATAAACTTTCTCTTGGATTGTGTGATTTTTTTTTTTTTTTGGCCACGTTGGGTCTTCGTTGCTGTGCACGGGCTTTCTCTAGTTGTGGTGAGCAAGAGCTACTCTTCCTCGTGGTGCGCGGGCTTCTCATTGCGGTGGCTTCTCTTGTTGCGGAGCACGGGCTCTAGGCGCTCAGGCTTCAGTAGTTGTGGCTCATGGGCTCTAGAGCGCAGGCTTAGTAGTTGTGGCGCACGGGCTTAGTTGCTCTGCGGCATGTGGGATCTTCCCGGACCAGGGCTTGACCCGTTGTCCCCTGCATTGGCAGGACGATTCTTAACCACTGCACCACCAGGGAAGTCCCTGGACTGTGTAATTTCTTAAAACACATTTTCCAGCCTCTCAAGGCAGGTTTAGATACTTCTTTCTGAGCTCCCACGGTATCCCATCCACTTGTGAGTCTCATAGTGACACTCACAAGTCTATTGGCACTCCATTTACTTTTGAATTTTTCCATGCATCTGTCCATCCATCCAAGGAAAAATACCTATTGAATACCTGCTATGTGCCCGACACTGTTCTTTCTAAGCATTAGGGAAAGCAACAGCGAACAGAGCGACAAAGATTTCACTCTCCTAGAGCTCCTGTTCTACCAGGGCTGCTAGTAAACAATATGACATCTCTGCAAGTTAGAAAAAGGCAGGTGGCTTAGGGAATAGGCAGCAATTTTGTGTGAATTAGGAAAACGCCTCTTCCTCCAGCCAGTCTCAGGCCCCTGCTAAGGGGTCCAGCTTTGGGAAAGGGATGAACCACCTGACATGGAAGTAACAAATTATATGGAGAAAAATAAAGTCAGGCAAGGGATCTAGAAAGTGATGTGGATGTGGGGAGGGGTATACTGGCTTATACAGTGTACTTAAGAAGGGCTTCTCTGACAAGGTAGCATTGAGCAGAGACCACAAGGGAATAAGGGAGCAAAGGACACAAATGTCAAGAAGAGCATCGCAAGATGTTAATAGCAAGTGCAAAAGCCCTGCGGCAGGAGCAAATTTAATGGGTTCGAGAACAGAAAAAGTTTCAATTAAGAATGAAAAGAGAGTCGGGCTTCCCTGGTGGGGCAGTGGTTGA